TTTTTGAAGACACATATCTCTGTTTCTAAATATATATATATATATATATATATATATATACAGATAAGAATGTTTATCTAGGTAATAAAAATACTTTAGAATAATTTGATAATGTACACGTAATATGATATCATATTTGGTTTAAAATTAGACTGTGGTGGTTATATAGAGCTAGAATATGATATATTCAAACAATTTTGAAGCACGTCGTTCTAGTCAATGTCGCCACGTCCTAGCATGCTCTATCTAATGACGGTGCATTTTAACGAAAGAACTGCAGCAAAAGGAGCTATCGTAAGGCTGTCATGTTCAAAACACACCAGCCCTCTCTACATTCGTTGTATAAGCCATCCAATGGAAGAAGAGAATGAATTTCCAGAACTCGATTAAACAATCAAATAGAATAGCAATCCATAGATGCTGGAATAACGTGGATACCCGTTTCATTCTCCAGTTACTTGAGGTTAGTCAGAGTTGAGCAGTTACGTCGTAAAATCAACCTGCGTCTCTTTTTTCTAGACGGAGACCCTTCTTCATTATGTTGCGTATTGTTGACTGGAACACATGGACAGCTTCTGGCACTGATCCTTGTGTTTCTGGATCCTGTGGTTGTCATGGGACTTAAAGACTTGCATGTTCAAAATCTGTATAAATATAACATGCTCTACCCTCTATCAATAACAGTAAAAATCAAGAAACGGTTATAAAAATGAAAGATACATTTATCTAAGATTGTAGACAACACAATCCCTTAAAACAAGACTGTTCTGGTTTCTTTTTAGTATCTGATCATTTGTTTAATACCTGTGATAAACTGTATCTTATTGTATTAACAATTGAGCAATTTATTTAACTTTACCAATTAATGAAATGACTAGATGTAGAAACTGTTGGAAATGTGATAGCATAATTTTGTTTGACAGTGACTATGGGAATTGCATTCAAAAAATGTAAGAATTTATTTTGATACTTTATAATAAAAAATGTTCGCAGTTAGGTAATTATTTTGTTTGTTTGTTTTAATTTCGCGCAAAGCTACACAATGGATATCTGCGCTAACCGTCCATAATTTAGCAGTGTTAGACTAGAGGGAAGGCAGCTAGTCATCACCACCCACCGCCAACTCTTGGGCTACTTTTTTACCAACGAATAGTGGGATTGACCGTCACATTATATCGCCCCCACGGATGAAAGGGCGAACATGTTTGGTGTGTGAGGGAAATTATTTTGTAGTCTAGTTAAATGTAAACTAGAGTGTTTTCTTTTTGGAAACGTTGCTACGTTGTATTGAGGAATTACGGAACATTATGGATGATATATAAAGAAAAATATATTATCAACAAGAAGGAAAATAAATTAATTAGTGATATACAAAGCTTAGACACTTCTGCTAATTTTTATAATATAATTGAGGAATATGTGTTAAATAGAAATGAATTAGAAGATATTCGAAGTGTTGAATTAATTTTTAACGCTTAAATCATAGCCCCCCCCCCACCATGGTACGAGTTGAGATACAAATCTAAATATTATTTTTTGTATTTATGGCAAGACTATTGATACTATCTGCCACCGTTCCTAATTGAAACTACTCACCAGAGAAAAATTACCCTATCACCCAAACTTCACGCTAGAGTATTGTTTGTTTGAAGTTAAGCACAAATCTACATAATGGGCTATCTGTGCTCTGCCCACCACGGGTATCGAAACCCGATTTCTAGCGTTGTAAGTCCGCAGACATACTACCGTGCCACTGGGGGGCCTAGAGTATTGATTGCCACTTTTCAAAATGGGAAATTATCCGATTAAAAAAAACTGAAATTACTACATAAAAAATTGGGGTCTGCTCATCTTGCCCCCCAGTGGCACAGCGGTATGTCTGCGGACTTACAACGCTAGAAACCGGGTTTCGATACCCGTGGTGGGCAGAGCACAGATAGCCCTTGTGTAGCTTTGTGCATAATTAAAAACAAACAAACAAACAAACTGCTCATCTTACTGGTATGTTATATAAAATATACTTCGATTGTTAATTCATGAACGTGAAAAAGGTTTTCTAAAAAGATGATTCATATATTAAATATATTTCTGCTATTATGAATTATGTATAGGAACATAACAAAACAGACTATCGTTGCTTGTAGCTTTTTACAAAGTTTTTGATACGGTTTTCTGGAGTTTTATGTTAAAAGTTTTAAATTTTTAGCTTCGGAGGTACCGTATTTTTCGGTGTATAAGACGCACTTTTTTACCCCAAAATTTGATATCAAAATCTGCTTGCGTCCTATACACCGAAGGTATGAATAATATATATGTATATATATATATATACGATATACACAAGTCATGTATAAATATACTTAATTAGGCATGCATAGTTTAGTTCAATTGAATGTATTATTTATAACAATAGTAGTTTTTTTTTCTTTTAAAAACATAACTATTTATCATGCTTCCTAAATAATAAAACAATAAATTACAGTGAAAGCAATGAAGATTTTGTAGGTTTTGAACCAAACTAAATAAGAGTAAACCTTTTTTTTTATTTACTGTATTTTCTTATTTTGATGTTTTGAGCTCTTTTGTGTTTAGAACAATATATATACTAATTTTTAAACTATCAAATTGAAGTTTTGTTCAATAAAAATCTTTCATATGCGACTGTAGCTTTTTTTCCCCCAAAACTTTGTCTTCAAAATAAGGATGCGTCTTATATTACGAAAAATACGGTAGCTTCATAAATTGGATATAATCTTCTTATAAGAATCTGAAATATTATATCGTTCAAAATGGCTTTATTTTAGAGAGATTAAAATCTATAGAGATTCAGGCAATGAGATCTTTTATCTTTATGTGTATTTATTTGATGTATGGAAATAATGGAAATTCTAATTCGTTACAATAACGACATAAATGGGATTCTTAGAAAAGATAAGGAAATTATACTTATTCAGACGATGAACAGTTTATCCTTGATGGCAAATTCTCTTGATAATACATTAGAACTCTTAGACTTTTTTACCGATGTTTCTGAGTTAAAAACTGGTTGTTTGGATCAAAAACTTACTCTTTTGATGTATGAAATGTTAAACGGAATTTTATATTGAACTAATAACTTTTCTTTACTGGGTACAGATTTTTTAAGCGATTTTAGAGAATGTAACAGAAAATGTATATGTAAAGCTTATAACAAAAGATACAATTGGAGAACAAGAAAGTTAACAATTAAGGAGAAAATAAGTAGCACACAGGTATGAATTATTCCTACATTTTTAAATGTATTAACTCTAGGGGAGACCGGGGACAGTTGTAACACATTTAATGTCTTCAATCAGAAGCCAGCTGGAGTGACATCATTTGTCTGCCAAAGCGTTAAAATTTTATCGGCAAAAATCGATATTTGACCTACGTAAGTAATTTTTTGTCTCCAGAATTTTCCAATCTATGAATTAGCGCTTTTATCATTCTCATCCCTGGTCTATGTAATTATAATTCTCACAGTTAATTTCTCTTAGTTCTGTAGTGTCTTGCTGGAACATGAGGTTTAGTAATGGCTGCCTAAGTTGGGGCCAGTTGTAACATGTATTACAATTAACCCTAAATAATATTAGGTCTGTTTTTTTCAGCATGCCTCGAGTTAGACAGAGAAAGACAAGTAGGGGAGTGCCTTTAGAAATCCTGGAGCAAGCATCAAATGTATTGCAGAATGAGGGAAAACCAGTGCGAGCTGTGACAAAAAATTTCAGTATTTGCCATGAGACATTGAACAGGTTTTGTAAGACAAGGAAATGGATAGCTGCTGAAGGGTCTATAAATGTGCCAAATGTTGACTACCACAATGCAACACGAGTCTGCACTGATGAACAGCTGTCAGAATATCTGGGCCCGGCATGACCAGGTGGTTAGGGCGCTCAACTCGCAATCTGCGGGTCGAATCCCCGTTACACCAAACATGCTCGCCCTTTCAGCCGTGGGGGCGTTATAATGTGACGGTAAATTCCACTATTCGTTGGTAAAAGAGTAGCCCAAGAGTTGTCGGTGGGTGGTGATGACTAGCTGCCTTCCCTCTAGTCTTACACTGTTAAATTAGGGACGGCTAGCGCAGATAGCCCTCGTGTAGCTTTGCGCGAAATTCAAAACAAACAGAATATATGCTTCATATTGGTTCACTGCATATTTAAAGATAAGTCAACAACTTGTCATTAGGAGTCCTCAAGCAACCAGTTTTTCTCAGGCCACTAGTTTCAACCACACAAATGTGGCTATTTTCTTCAAAAATCTAGAGGAAATTTTAACTTAACACAGATTTGATGCCAAAGATATCTCGAATGTGGATTAAACAGGAATCACAACTGTCCAAACTCCAGACAGAATTGTTGTCAAACGTGGTGCTAAACAAATTGGTGCAATAACATCTGCGGAGCACAATGCTTTTGTCCACACTGCTATTGCAGTTAATGCATTAGGCAATAGTATCCCTCCTATTCTTGTTTTTCCTCGTAAGCGATACCATAATCATTTTGTGCGACATGGGCCTCCAAGATGCATTGGAACTGGAAATGGTTCAGGCTCGATACAAGAAGAAGATTTCATGGTATTATGGTGTTTATCCGTCACTTTGCCAAGCACATCAGAGCTTTTCCTAAGGCAAAGATTGTGCTTCTGCTGGACAACCATGAGACACATATTTCAATCCAATGCATTGATTTCTGCAAAAATAATAGGATCATTCTCCTGTCATTTCCCCCACATTCCTCCCACAAAGTACAGCCCCTTGATCGAGGTATTTATCAACCGATGAAGAAGCTTGTGGGCTCATGCACCGACAGCTGGATGAAGATGAATCCAGGGAAGACCATGTCAATCTACAACATTACCGGAATTCTGAAGACAACGCTTCCTTTAGCTGCAACACCCATAAGCATACAGTAAAGCTTCAGATGTACTGGAATATGGCCCTTCAACAGGGATATTTTTGAAGAATGTGACTTTGCACCATCTTTTATCTCTGAACGGCCAATTCCATCTCCTGCTGCAGCTGTTCCAGATTCATCAGATGATTCACGTGCTTCAGATGGTCATCAGGGCACTAATGGAACTACACCACAGTGTTCTTCTTGAGAGGAAAGTATATCAAGCCTCCCAAAAGGAGTCAGAAGCAAAAGCTCCATCAGTCTTTTTTCCAGAGACCATTTCCCCCAACCCTAAAGCTGGCCCAAGAAAATGAATGAAAAGAAGAACAACAGAGATTCTTACTGACACACCTGTCAAATTAACCTTAGAAGCCTAAAAAAGACAGTGGGTCAGAAGATGAAAATAAAAATTGCTTTGGCAGATGCCAAAAAGAATGCTGGAAAGAAAAAAAAATATACCAGAAAAAACAGAAGACTCTGATGAAGAAAAGGACTTTTGATTAGGGTACCTTGAACCATATGCTTCATCCCGAGTCAAGGAAGTATGGGACCAGTGTATGATATGCAAGGAAACAATTCTGCGTATGTGACTCAAAGTGACATTCTTGCTTGAGGAGTTTAAAAAATGAATGAAATTTGTTCTTTCAAATAAAGTTAAATCCTTTGGGAGTTAAAATAAAATGTGTTGTTTGTTTAATACGCTTCTTATTGAATGTTACATCTGATCCTTTGCCCTGTTACAACTGATCGTAGCCAATGGGGTCGATTGTAACATCTGACACCTGACATTTGAACCACTCTTCCTCTATGTATACCAGCACCAATAACACGAAAACTGTGGTAATTCATAGAGGACAGATGTAAGTTGTTTGTATCAAAAGAATGGTAAAATTACCTCAAATGGTCTATGCGTAATGTAGATAAATATAAGATATGTTACAAATGTCCCCGGTCTCCCCTACATACAGCCCATCTGAAAAAAATATAGAAACGGAGACAATACCTTATAAATTTATTTGGAAGAATGGCTTTAACGAAGTGTCTAGATAAATACTGTTTACAAGTTACAGTGAATATTGTTTTAACATTTTACATCTTTACAGATTTATGGAAGCCATGAAATGCTCCTGGGTGAAAACAAATGAAAGTGAAATAATTGATTTTTATTTTTCGGTGCAAGTAATTGATGCTAACGTTTTTTTCCATTGCAAATATTATAGGTTCAAATTAGAATGTTTTTTGGATCGACGTGTCAGGTAATTGAAATTTTTTTCCAGTAATACAGAACTTAACACTATGGAAGATTGGATTAAAATTTACTTACAATTCAACTTGAATAAATAAAGGCCGTTTTAAATTTAACAAACTTAGAGAAAATTTTGGCATATCCAAAGAAGAAGTGGAAAGAAGAAATTTAAAATAATATGTTTTTTTTTCCTGAAAGAAATGAGAACCGTGTTACAAAACTTCTATTTACAACTACCCAAGGATTTAACACTTTTTACAACTTTCTGTAAAAAACTTAGCTACACTTCGTAGAAAGGCAGAAGTATTTTGTGATAATTTTTTTGGTGAATTGAAGAATTTAAGGCCTAACATTTAACGTATATCATTCATTTGTATAATGTAATTAAGATATTAGGCTTCTAGTTTAAAAGGAAACAAAAAAGTTTGGTAACTATTTCCTCTTTAAATAAAGATTAAAAATCATGGGAAGATTTATGTAATTACTGTAATACTTTTAAAGAGATGATTTATCGTTTGTTTATAAAATGTCCTATTATAAATACATTTTGAAAAGAATGAGAAACGTAGAGTAAATATATATTAAGTTTGAGGTTTCAATAAAATCACAGGATAAAGTACAATTTAGGTTTCAGGTTTTATTAAAAACCAAAGGATAAACTACAAGTTAGGTTCGAGGTTTTATTAAAACCACAGGATAAACATATAAGTAAGGTTTGAGGTTTTATTAAAACCACAGGATAAATTGTTTCGTACGCTTTTAGAAAAAAAAAGTGTAATATTTTGTTAAATTATTTGCTATTTTAGCTTTTTATATTCATATATTTTTGAATATAACTAGAATATTATGTTTTCATCATATATTAAATATATTTAAAAAAGTTATACAAAAATATAGAGGTATAGAAGACAAAATAGTTGACTAAATTTTAAAACTGTAGCATACAATTACTTAAATACAATAGTAGCGTCTTTATATTGTTTTAGTTTTGCTTGTGTATTGTAAAAATGTGTAGTGTTAACAAGATCTTTTCAAATGTGCTTAAAAAAGTGAAAAATATGGGTAAAAGAAAAAAATACTAAAAAAAGATAGGTTTGTTTGTAATTAAGCACAAAGCTACACAATGGGCTATCTGTGCTCTGCCCATCACAGGTATCGAAACCGGTTTCTAGCGTTGTATATCCATAGGGGGGGGGGCAAAAAAGTTAGGAAAACTAGCAAACATACACTCATTTAGTGGCCGGATATTAAATTTGAAAGTTTTTATTAAACAATAAGAATAATTCTTTATGTTTATTTTCTGTGCCTGATGCTTTTCTTGCTAATGTGCTTTATGAAATCTAATGAGACATTTTGACCTATACGTCCACTTACCAGTTAACTGAAGATAGGCCAGAACGGTGCCATATTTGTTGGTGGCTTCGCAAGTGTAATTTTCATAACTGGTATTATTTATGGCCTCAGTCGTGAAACTTGGGATTGCTTTTAACGTGGCAAATACTGTACAATTTTCAGTCTTCTCTATTGATATATTATAATATGGATATACTTTTTCATCAAAAGTAGTATTATCTTTGAACCACAATACATCCGGAACAGGAAACCTCTCCACAATGCATCGTAGAATCCAATCTGCTTCAATGGTTACATTAACCTCACTATTTGGCACTGAGTTCAAAGGCAGAGCTGCACCATTAAGAAAACAAGAACAAAACATTGTACGTTCATTAAGCGAAACTGATGAAAACACTTTATTGTAATGGCTAAAAAGTATTAATATTTTGGAGTAATAGTTGAAGAGCCGAGAAATTTCATTATAATCTTAATATTATCAGGATACGGATATAATTTACTAAAACATATTTTCATTCCTCGACTAGTATTCTATTTCTGCAAAGTCCTGCTAAATTCCAGAAATATATGCGCGTCCCATAGATACGTAAAAAAACTCATCATTATAACTAAACTTAATAATTTACAAAAAATACAAAATGAACTTCTAGCTATTAAAGGAAATTACAGCATCTTCACTACATTACTTCTATTCTTCACTTACAGACTAACCCCATTATCTGGTACATTTATTGATGTTTATATATAATGCACTTAAATATAGGTATTCTCAATTATCACGTGACTGGCAGCTGACCAACCAATGCATTTTTCCCAACTATCAAAACTCAGTACATGAAGTTTTAGACAGCCAGATATTTAGTTTAAATTCACACATCATTGAAATTATGGTGCCAAAGGCTATAATTCACAACGATCTATGTTCACTTGTCTTACATGACATACAGCATTAGCTAGATAAAATTACGTATATATATATATATATACAAAATTACAGTGACTTGCGAAAGTAGGGATAGCTTTTTTAAAATTAAGTAATTCAGTTTTTCTAGTTTTGACTTTTTGTTTCAATACGTTTTGCAGTACTAAAATTTTCTATACAACTATAGCTAGGTTACGTATATATCGATCCCTACCAGTCTTTCTGGAATCTAAAAATGTTTTATTGGACTTGTTAGTTTCCTTTTCATTAACTATAATATATATATATATATATAATGGACGATACAGGACCAGTATCCTTTTTGGTACAAGAAAGGAATTATTTGGACTGCAGAAAGAAGATTTCTGTGAAAGAATTAAAACGATAAGGTTGTGTGGAAAAGTCCTTCACATACTTACTTAGATGAAAATTTGTTGAAATGGTGACATTTTGATTCACTCCATAAATACATATATAGCGATTTAGATGGCTTTATAAGTACAGTATGGTTTAGTTTTGTTCAGCCAATACTGTGAAATAGTCATTGTTAATATTCAGACATTTTAAAGGTGGTTTTGTTTCATCATGATCTCTACTATTGAGTACTGCAGTACTTAACGATAGATATAAAGAGAGATTAGCACATTATGTTAAAACGACTTTGGAGCCTCATCACATGTATGTAGCCACGTCTGATCATGCTTTATCTGATGATTGTGCAACTTCATAATAACCTTTCAGCGTCGTTTCTATTGCAAAATGCTCCTTTTCAAGTCTGCCACATCCAAAGCATATAATTTCTGTATAAACCTTTCCATAATCCATGTAGTGTACTAGGACGACGGTTTTGCTTCACTAATTCCAATATTTAGATTGCACATAAATCCATAGGCGTTGCCTCATTCGACTACCTATTACTTAGGAAGTTAGGTATAAGGAATATCAGTTGGAGTTGAGAGAGAGGTCAGAAAACAGTTGGCTTTCAGTCAGTCTTTAAGAGATTAGAGGATTACAACACTCGAAGTCGTTTGAACATTATCAGAGGGAGCAGCCACCTTTCTAAATTCAGTCGGATTTGGAAGGTGAAAGAACTTTTATGATTATGAGATATTGTAATCCGATATAAGAAAATCAGCTATGTTCTATGTGGGTTTTGAGAAGGAAGTGTAAAAGAGACGAGTTAGCAGAAAATGGAAAATAATGGCAGATGTGAGAGCGAATGGATAAACCGAGAGAGGCGAAGGAAGAAAGTAATATTCTGTCAGTAAGAAACAAAACCTAGTTTTAAATCTGTGTGCTATTGATTATAGTATTAAACAGAATATTTTTAGGTTTAACTTGGTATGAGTCAATACCTGATATAAATAAGAATAACCTTAATAATGTTGATGGGAAAACGAAGTACAACTATATCAGAACAAAGTGGTGTCATAAATGATATATTAGTATCACATTACTGAGATATCCCTTTTTAATAGTTTAATTCTCCTGTTTCCTGAGGTATATGATGATTGAACAGGAAGTATGTCTGTAAGCCTTATCTTGGTGAACTAATATCCTGTTGGACTTGTTTCAAGACGGAGATCCTTCCTTATTATATCTTATACTGTTTCCAGGGCCGTGTGGTATGAGGACGGCTGTTGCTACTTACCTTTATGTACTTACTTGTTGAAAGACGCCTTGCTTACAAGGCTGAGATGTGATTTGTTGCAGGTCTCTTTCTGGATGGTTCCGGTACACCATATGGATTCATATTCCTTTGTTTTCCAATGCCATTAAGTAGAAGGAATATTCCAGTTACATAAATTCTAAATCCTTCATTTGAGTACATCTTTATTATTGAGTGTATGAATATTTCGTATTGGAAAGAGCTGTTACATACCCTCCCCCAAGGCGATTAATTTTTGGTGACACTCCACTACCTACGTAAATATAAACAGTTTAAAAATGTAGTTCTGATACACGGCTTTTTACCAAGACTATATATAGTCAATGGTTGCAACATGACTTGGTAATATAAATATTCAAAATCGTTTTAAAAATGTAGTTCTGATACACGGCTTTTTACCAAGACTATATATATAGTCAATGGTTGTAACATGACTTGGTAATATAAATATTCAAAATCGTTTTAATATAACATTCTCAACCCTGTTTATGAATCTTCATTATTCACAGAAGGTTTAAGTTTAAATGGTCTGTGACTGTTGACATAGCGATTCGATCATTTTTACAAATGCTTGGTGACACTCCACTACCTACGTAAATATAAACAGTTTAAAAATGTAGTTCTGATACACGGCTTTGTACCAAGACTATATATAGTCAATGGTTGTAACATGACTTGGTAATATAAATATTCAAAATCGTTTTAAATATAACATTCTCAACCATGTTTATGAATCTTCATTATTCACAGAAGGTTTAAGATTAAATGGTCTGTGACTGTTGACATAGCGATTCGATCATTTTTACAAATGCATGAACAATGGTACGCATATAATGAAATGTTATCTATAGTTTGTTAAAGTCACGTAAATCACATTTGCGTTATATATTGAACTATTTGTAAAACATAAGGAATGAAATCGTGCAAATTAAAACTTCCATTTTTTTCTGTTATTAAATAAGAATTAGCTCTATAGATTAAACTTTAAATTAGTTTCGTAAGCTGTAACTTACTTTGAACGAGCAGAATGACGTCCCTTTTTACAATATGACCTCTATCATCTTCTGCTTCACACGAGTAAATGCCTTCATCTTCCCTCTGAGCGCCGGAAATTAACAAAGACTGTCCATGAAAGATTAAGTGGTCCCACTTTCTTCGCCATTTTATCGATACCAGGGAAGAACTTTCTACGTTACAGATCAGATAAATATCACTTCCATGACACGCAGTTACCCTGTGTGTTAGGCTGCTGGTTGTTGGTTGCGACAGAACTGAAACAGTAGAACATAGGATGGAACTAAAACAGTAGGACATGGTAAAAACAGCTACCATCATTTTGTGTGTTTACACAGAAAAAATACGCAGGCTATCTAACATTATATAATTTACTTTTGTTCTAATTGATATTTAAATAATGTTTTTTTTAATATATATATATATATATATATTGGACAGGTAAATTCAAAGTTAATTCCTTTAAGTACTTTACTAAGGTACAGTCAGATAAATTCAAGGTCGATTCCTGTAGGTAAGTTACTAAGGTACAGTCAGGTAAAATTAAAATAAATTCCTGTAAGTACTTTACTAAGGTACAGTCAGATAAAACCAAGGTCAATTCCTGTAAGTACTTTACTAAGGTACAGTCAGATAAATTCAAGGTCAATTCCTCTAAGTACTTTACTAAGGTACAGTCAGATAAAATCAAGGTCAATTCTTCTAAGTACTTTACTAAGGTACAGTCAGATAAATTCAAGGTCAATTCCTGTAGGTAATTTACTAAGGTAAAATCAGATAAATTCAAGGTCAATTCCTGTAAATACTTTACTAAGGTACAGTCATATAAGGTCAAGGTCAATTCCTGTAGATAATTTACTAAGGTACAGTCAGATAAAATTAAGGTAAATTCCTGTAAGTACTATAAAAAGATACACAGGAGTCAGTTGGTTTTCTTCAATTCCTGTATTATAAGTATTATAAGCAGTGTCGCACGATCCATTCAAACATACATTTCCTCTAAATTTATCACAATTTTTAAATCGCAGGTTGCTTGATATTTGTCATAAGTACCAGCTATTTGATTATCGTTATGGACAGAAGTTTCATGATTTTCACTGCTATAGGTCGGTAGGGGAACATCTTAATGAATGAATGATACGAGATGTAGAAAGTATGAACCCATTGACCTCTATATAGCTGGAAGGAGCATGACGTCATCGCGGAAGTGATGGAGACTTACTGGAGACTTGGTGAAATAGATCTCATGACATTGAAGCCATGTTCAGCCACCTTTTATTACAGTATTATACAATACATTACGACATTTAGTATCTAAAACGTTATACGAACATTTGGACATAATATAAATTAATTATAATTCCGATAACAGGTGAAATTCAGTTAGTATCATCGACCTATTTACAGTATTAGACAATACATTACGACATTTAGTATCTAAAACGTTATACGAACATTTGGACATAATATAAATTAATTATAATTCCGATAACAGGTGAAATTCAGTTAGTATCATCGACCTATTTACAAAGCTGTTTGCACTGATATAAGACCCTTTACCTGAAGATGTCAACACGTAGATTTTTTTTTATCAATAAATTATTCTTAAGTTTTTAACAGTGTATAGCTGATGGTATCTTACTTAATATGGATGCATAAGTTTTAGTGATTCAACTTTACACGTTTTCTAAAACACTCCGTGAAAGTGTCAAGTGTGAGTAAGTTCGGTGCTGAATGTTAAAGGAACACATCATTGTATCTTTGAATAATTAAGAAAGGCCCAGTCAGCTACTAATAATTCATAAGAATACATTAGTAAGCATCATTGTTACGTATTATTAATGTCCTATATAAATATACGTTCATTATAGTATGTAAAAAAACAACTTAAAACACCATGCGTATTATCACACCGGGTAATGCCCCCCCCCCCCCGACGTGGCACAGCGGTAAGTTTGCTGACTTTAACAACGCTATAAACCGGGTTTCGATACTTGTCGTGGGCAGAGCATAGATAGCCCATTGTGTAGCTTTGTACTTAACCACAAATAAACACTGGGTCATTTTAGAATATGTTTTTTTTTATAAATAGCAATGTTGT